GTTTGGCTCGGAGGCTGAGTAGCTCGAAGCCTGTGATTTGGAGATGACATGGTCGAAGCTCTTTTTGCATATGTCGAGGGTAGCCTGTTTAACCAGTTCTTTTCGAAGTAGAATCGAAGTAATGGCCTATGATTTTGTAGCGACGGTCGGGCGTCCCTGAGTCGCGTTTGCTTGGCTGCTATAGCCGTATGACCGTAGTCATTTGTGCTTGGCCAGAGCCATTTTTGGTCCCGAGTGCAGTAGTTTAGGTTTCTATATCGAAGGTATGCCTTTCAGGAATCTTACAAGTTCGATATATGGCCTAAACTTCGGGATCGAGTTTATGCCTGCAGGATGGTCTTACAAAATTTTCATGCCTTTGAGGTCTTACATTTTGTTGATACTTGGTACAAGTATGATTCATGCCTTGCTTGAGGTCTTATAGTTTTGTTGATACTTGGTACAAATATGATTCATGCCTTGCTTGAGGTCTTACAGTTGTGTCGATACTTGGTACACGTATGATTCATGCCTTGCTTGAGGTCTTAGAGTTTTTGTTGTTGCCTTATATAGGTCTTACGAGACCGAGTTTTCCCGCTCCGGGTCTTATGGCCTCGGGTTTTTTATTGAATGGCGATTGGCGACAGTCTCCGAGTATTTGGGACGTTTTTTATGGAGGAATCGTTTTGGCAAAAGTGTTAAGTTTCCTTTGGAGTATGAGATGCTTTGACAAAAGGTGTTCTTTGATTGCTTGGCACAAGTACATGTGTCTCCGCCCTCGGGGGCCCGGCTATGCGGACACGGTTCACTCGACCATTTTGCCTAGTACATCATTTTCCTACTGGTACCCCATTTGGCGTTTTTTGCCTTTTTCGAGGGGATGATCTTCCGGGGGATGCCCTCCAATGTTCGAGGTTGATTGCAAAAGAAGCCTAGAACATTTGCTTGGATCTTCCTTAGGTAGCATATAGATGTTGCCTCGTTAAAAACCTTGACGGTAAAACCCTTCTTGGGATGAAAACCCGGCTGAAGGAAAAGAGTACAATGCATGCTTTCGAAACCTAAGGCCTTCGGGTTGGGAAGAGCTCTGGTTGTTTCTATCGGGTGCCTACATAAGGGTTAGTATGAAATATAAAATGATAAAGGAGATGATTATACCTTAGCGTGGGATGCGTCGGTGATGTTCCGAGGTCTGATATGCCCCTGTCGCTTGTAATAAGGATGCGGTACGGTCCTTCACTATGTTTAATCGGGCTTAGCCGATGATGTAGTTTGCTTGCCCTTTGGTTCTTTCGAGAGTGGAGATATTGGTGTCGGTGCCACGTCGTGCACCACGAACATTTCTTTGCTGCGTGTTGTTCCCCATAGACGGTTTTAATCCCGTTCTTTGTTGGGAATTTCATCATTTGGTGGAGGGTGGATGGCACTGCTCTCATGCAGTGTATCCACAATCGTCCGAACAAGGCGTTGTACCTCATGTCTCCTTCGATGACATGAAATTTGACATTTTGGGTTGTGTTGACCACGCTGTCTAGGAGGTTGATTTCTCCTTTCGTTGTTTCACTTGCCATGTTGAATCCGTTGAGGACTCGAGTGGCGGGCACGATTTGGTCTAGCAGTCAGAGCTGCTCAATTACTCTCGACCTGATAATGTTGGTCGAGCTACTTGGATCCACGAGTACACATTTTATTTGAAATGTATTCACGAAGAAAGAGATTACCAGTGCATCATTATGAGGTTGAGACAAGGCCTCGGAGTCCTCTTCGCTGTACGTGAGGGCATCCTCGGGTATGTACCCCCGAGTTCGCTTTTCTCTAGTGATGGATATTTTTGTCTTTCTCATCACGGGCTCCTGGGGATCGTCGACGCCTCCCAAGATCATGTGGATAACATGTTGTGGCCCGTTCACTTCGTTCTTTTTGGCTGCTTCTCTTTCTCGGAACTGATTTTTGGCCCAGTCGCTTAAGAATTCTCGGAGGTGACCTTTATTGAGTAACCTAGCTACTTCTTCTTGGAGTTGGTGGCAATCTTCGGTCCTGTGGCCGTGAGTGTTATGAAATTCAGATACTAAGTTATGATTCCTTTGGGAAGGATCCGACTGTGTAGGCCTGGGCCACTTGGCGTCTCTGATTTTGCTGATGGCCAAAACGATATCTGATACATCGATGTTGAAGTCGTATTCTGATAAGCGCAGTGCCCCTGTTGGCCTCGTGTTTCCATCAAATCCGGTTCTGTTAATGAGTCCCCGAGGATTTTTTCCTCGGTTGATCACTCGATCGCTGCGAGGTGGGTTGCGCCTCGGGGCGTTCCTCCTATCTTCGGTGTATGGCTGGTATCGTTCCTTATTTGGCTTTGGCTCCTTCGTCAGAAGCCTACTCGGGTATACTGAGCCCGAGGGGGCTCCTAGTTGATCATCCTTGACCCTGATCTTTGACTGCTATCTGTTATGGATGTCCGACCAGGTTACGGCGGGATACTCGATCAGATTCTCTTTCAGCCGCCTTGAAGCTACTGAGCTCCGCTCATTCAGGCCTTGAGTGAAGGCCTGCACCGCCCACTCGTTGGAGACCGGTGGTAATTCCATTCGCTCCGTTTGGAAGTGAGTTACGAACTCTCGCAGCATTTCGTTCTCCCTCTGCTTGATTTTGAACACGTCAGACTTCCTCGTCGCTACTTTGATGGCACCGGCATGTGCCATTATGAAGGAGTCTGCCAGCATGGAAAATGAGTCTACGGAGTTGGGAGCTAGGTTGTGATACCACATCATGGCCCCCTTCGAGAGTGTTTCCCCAAACTTCTTCAGTAAGACGGAATCGATCTCGTCGTCTTTTAGGTCGTTGCCCTTCACTGCACACGTGTAGGCAGTAACGTGCTCATTGGGGTCCGAGGTCCTGTTGTATTTTGGGAGTTCTGACATTCTGAACTTCTTCGGAATGGGTTTCAGGGCTGCTTCCTCAGGGAACGGCCTTTGCACGAATTTCTTTGAATTCACACCTATCAGGATCGGGGGTGCGCCCGGGATTTGGTCGACCCTGGTGTTGTACGTCTCGACCTTCTTTTCGTTGGCTGCTATCATTTTCTCGCCTGATTCGATCCTTTTGGTGAGGTCCTCAAGCATTTTTATGATGGCGTGATCGACTATCGACCCATTATTGCTTGACCTCTCCGGTACCTGTTCGGCCAGGGGGCTGTCTCCGGTGCTACCATGCTAGGAGTCTTCTGGTAACTTTGCATCTAAGCAATATCCAGCTGTTGTGCTTGCAACATTTCAAAAATAACATAAAGGCTAACTTCCCGTTCTTCCCGAGCTGGGGTTTTTTGGGCTTCCTGTTGGTCGACTTGGTGTATGCTCCTGTAAGTGTGGGAGCTTGTTTCGACGTGTCGAACGTCACATGAGATTCCGTCTGCCAAAATCGATCTTGGCGCGTTCTCAAGATTTTGTGGCGGCTCACCAACACCTGGAACAGCCACACCATTTTCTCCGTGGTTCTCAATATTGTTGTTTACTAAATCAGATATTTTAACCTGAAATCGAAGATCTTGGACAAGAAAAAGCGTGAAAGATAACTTGCGTTATGTGATGAAACCAGCAAGAAAATAATTACTATTATTTTTTGCCCCACGGTGGGCGCCAAACTGTTTACCGCAAAAATGATAATAACAATTAAATTTGTTGATGGGACTCTAAAAATATGTGATCTATTTTTATGCTAGTTGTTTAAGCAGATGATGCTAAGTGTATGAAGTTTAAAGACGAAATGCGAGCTAAAATGGAGTAATGATTGAACCGATGAGCTAGACGATCAGGGCCTCGCACAGACCGATACGGGGCCTCGAGGTTGGTTCCAAGGCTCGGGCTCGAGCTATTAAGGGCAATCGGGAAAGGGCTAACAGTTGTAAAATAATCAGCAAAGGCTCTTTATGACCAATGATAAGCAATAAATGAAGAACAAGTATGAAAGCAATAAATAAGAGCAACAATATCGAGAGAGTATGTTAGAGAGAAAAGAGAGAGAGTTCTTGTATATTTCGTGCGAACAATTGGAACAATGGTCGCCTTTTACAAAATGACAAAGATCCTCTTTATATAGAAGGGGAATCCCTACACGGTATAAAATACATTAATTGTAAAGATATGGGGATGGAACGGCTAGACATGACACCCTGATTCGGGTTTCAGAGTAGGTTGGTCAGGTTTTGTCAGACTTAGTCGTGTGTCTTGGGAACTCCCCATTTTTACCCTTGCCATGGTCATTATTGCCTCTAGGCCGGGTGTCGACGAACCTCGAGGGAGGGAACTCGGTCACAGCTTTGCGGCCTCGAGGCTCCGAGATGGTCTTCTGCAATGCCTTAATGACGGGAAATTGGACCCTCCGATTTCACCGTATACAATCTTGCAGCGTCCGCAGAACTTGGAGCCCCCATTTACGTTTATGATGTTGTTTTTTCTTATCTTCATTAGACTCTGCTGTATTGAGATATTTAGCATTTCTCTTAAAGCTTGTGACTTATTTCTACCGGGTTTTGGGAGTCGTAATTATTTTGAATTGCAGTTTTACTTGTTTCAGATAATGAGATTTGAGTTTCAGCTTAATATTCAGTCATTTGGTATAATTGTTAGGCATACTAGTCTTAGAGACTAGGTGCAGTCACGACATCCAACGGAGGGGAAATAGGACCGTGACATTAACATCAAAGGACTAAATGATCCGGAGTTTATACATCTTATAATCCTACTTTTGAACTAAAATTGCGTATAGCACATCAAACAATTGGTGCATGTTTTTTGTTTGGTCGGAAAGATAGTTTATATTATATAAAGCTTAAACTGTTGCATTACACATACTAAGTAGATGCACAGAAGGCATCATTTGCACAAAAGTAGAGTTGATTACCAGGTCCCAGTATGGGAAACTTGGCTTGAACTACAAGGAAAACTAGACAACACAGTAGAAGTAGTAGGTTGGACACTCCTAGATAAAGTACTAAAATTATACAAAACATTAGCGGCAGAGAGTGATTATGCTGAAGCAGTAGAGTCAGTCCTAATTAGTCTTCTTTGTAGCATGCCCTGGTGATTCTGTATGTAAGACGACATTGCAAAAAGTGGTGGTCTTTCAAATACACTGCATTGCTCCGTTAAATGCATGGCTCCATATGTAGCTACGCTATCAGCAACACTATTCTGCTCTCTGTAGATGTGTTGTAGTGGTGGGTTATCCAGCTGTAGGAGTAACAACCTGCAGTCATTAATAATATTAGTATATTGTATTGGTGGTGCGTTAAACATACCTATAATTGCTTGGGCGTCAGTTTCAATGGTGAGCGATTTAAGCTGCATCTGTACAGCTATTTTGAGCCCCATGAGAAGTGCTAGAAGTTCTGTTTGAACAGTAGATCCTTCCTTTGTGGTTCCTGCAAATCTTATAATCCAATTCCCATATATGTTCCTAAAAACACCACCAATTCCATATTTTACCTTTGCCTGGGAAACAGGACCCATCAATATTCATTTTATAAGTGGCCTGATTTGGTGGATTTCATTTTATGTAAACGGGTATTCCTGTGTGATGTTTTTTTGAAGGATTTGTAAGATAGTAAAATTCAGCTGCCTTGTTAATTATCAAAGCCACATTTAAGAGTGGTTTTTTATTTTCAAGTATTAGTTTATTGCATACTATCCAAAGCTGCCACATAGCAAAAGGAATTAGTGTTGTATGTGCAATATTGTGAGGAGTATTTGATAAGGATGTGTTCACAAATTGGTGTAACCAACTTAGGTTTGAATGTTGTGATATGCGGGAATTATTATTAATAGTAGGAACCCTTAGGGCTGTCCATAGTTGTCTTGCCTGGGGACATTCCCAAAAAATATGGAGTATAGTTTCAGAGGCCTATTGCATTGTTGACATACAGCTGAATTAATGATACCCAGTCATGCTAGATACATAGCAGTTGGAAGCCTTTCATGGCATATTAACCAGAAGAAGAACCTTATTTTTGGTGGAATGTGTAATTTCCAAATCCACCCATAAGATTGGGAGTTGTGCATGGTACTAGGATGTGTAATTTGTAGTAAAGTATTGTGTATGGATTTGGTTGTAAATATACCATTATTTGTTAGAGCCCAGTAAATTTGATCACACCTTACAGGTGTGGTTGGCATGTAGATATTGGCAATTAGTGAAAGTACCCGTGCTGGTAAAGCAAAAGGTATTGTGTCTAAATGCCAGTTATTATTATGGTAGTAATTTGAGACCAATTTTCTCTCCTCATGTTGTGTTAGAGGCCCTTGTATATAATCTCAAAGTGTTTTATTTTGGAGGATCCAGGGGTCAGTCCAAAACCTAACATGTTTTCCCGTCGTAAGATTCCACTTATACCCAAAACGACAGTAGGACCATCTTTTCATAATGTTACGTCAGGTATGGGAACCTTGGGCTCTTAACAAATTTTGTGGTCGTAAATTAATATGTAATAGTACTTGTGCCCATAGTTGATGGGGGTTATGAAAAAGTCTCCATGCAAGACGTGCATGTAATGCCTGGTTCTTGATACTAAGGTTTTGTATACTTAATCCACCTTGATGGGTAGGTTGTGTAACTGTAGACCACTTAACCAAATGTATTTTTTTCTTTTCTGGTGTTGTACCCATAGAAATTTCGTTGATATCGATTAGGGTAATTAATTATATAAGCAGAAATTTTTATATATTGCATCACATGATTTGGAAGTTGGTTTATAGCATATCTAATTAGTGTAGCTCTTCCTGCCCTTGACAAGAAGGTTGTTTTCCAACCTGCTAGTTTACTTTTGAAGTTATCTAGTAGGAATTGGTAATCTCTTTTTTTTTTGTTTCGTTGTAAAAATGGGAAAACCTAAATATCTTCCAAAGCTTTTCCCTTCTTCCATATGAAATAACTGAAGAACAGTTTGTTTGATTGGTGGTTTGCAATTATTAGAGAAATAAATTTTTGATTTCTCAAAATTTATAGTTTTACCTGAGTGGTGTGTAAACTGACCGAGAGTATCAACAATTGATTGGCAGGATGTAGGTGTAACTTGAGAAGTAAGAATAATGTCATCCGCAAATAATAAATGTGATAGTTGAGGTCTCCTTTTCCCTAAAGCAATTGGTATCCATGTCTGATAGTCAACTGCTGTGTTTATGTTCCTAGATGACATTTCCAGGCATAAAATAAATAGATAAGGTGATAAGGGATCACCCTGTCTAATTCCTCCTGAAGGTTCAAAATAATTAGTTGGATTACCATTAACTAAGATAGAGGTAGAAGTGGTAGTTATACAAGACATAATTAATTTAATTATATCTTTTGAGAAATTTAAGGCGATTAGTGTATGGTGAATGAAAGACCATTCTAATTTGTCAAAAGCTTTTTCAAGATCCAGTTATAGTAGCATATTGAAGTTATTAACTTTCTTTTTTTGAAAATTATGGATGATCTCCTGTACAATTATAGCATTGCCAGCAGCTCTTTTGTTTTTCAGGAAGCTAGCCTGAGTAGGATTAATAATGCGCTCCAGTGTTGATTTTAATCTGTTCACTATAATTTTTGTAATAATCTTGTATATTGTATTACAAAGGCTAATAGGTCTGTATTGTGAAATTGTGCATGCATTATCATTTTTTGGGATTAGACAAATGTAAGTTGTATTAATACAAGGATCTATATGGTGATTTTGAAAGACATTGTGGCAGAAGTCTCTAACAGAGTCACCTATAGTGTCCCAATATTTTTGATAAGAAGGGGGATGAAGACCATCCGGCCCAGGTGCCTTTAGAGGTTGAAAAGACTTTATAGAGTTAGTTATTTCATCATCCTTTAAAGGCTCTATTAAACAAAGTTGGTCCTCTCTTGTTAGGACATTATAAGGCAGGACCGACCTTTTTGGATACGAAACTTTTTTGCTTGTAGTGAATAATTTCTGATAAAATTGAGTAATATTCTTAGTTATTTGATGAGAATTTGTAATCTAATTTCCCCCATGATCCTGAATTGCTGTTATTTGATTATGTCTTCTACGATTCAAAGTAGTTAGGTGGAAAAACTTAGTATTTGCGTCACCATTATTTAACCAATTAATGCATGATTTTAGCTTCCAAAAGTCTTCCTCAAGTCTTAGTATTTGATCATAATCCTTTTGTAATTGTTGTTCTAGATTTTGTAGGAATATACTAGTTGGATAATGAATGAAAGATTGAAGACCATCTAAGCGAGCTAAGATATTTCTTTTTCTCTTAAAAATATTACCAAAAGTTGAGGAGTTCCATTCCTGTACTGTCTTAGTAAATTGATTTATAGCCGGTATTAGATATAAATTATTAGCCCATGCTTGTTTCACAACAATAGGGAAAGATGCGTGTGTTGTCCAAATTATTTCAAAGAGAAATATTTTTTTACGAGGTAATGGCCTATATTGTAGTTCAATTTTAATAGGACAGTGATCTGAGTGTGTGCGTGGAAGGTGTGTTACCATTGCCTCAAGGAAAAGATTTAGCCAGTTATAATTTGCCACAATACGATCTATGCGTTCCAGTATGTTGGCTCCATTATGTCTCCCATTGGTCCATGTAAAATGACTTCCTTTATAACCTAAATCTATTAAGTGGCACTAGTTGTAACAGTCTACTAATTTATTTGAGCGTGCATTATTAATAGGTAGTCCGTCAAATTTATCTGCTGCATGTGTTATTTCATTAAAATCACCACCCATTATCCATGGACCTTTATAATTATCATAAACACACATTAAATTTTTCCATAAAGATTGTCTATGCACTAACTCAGTACTAGCATATATGGCAGTGAATAAAAATTTGCTGGGAAAAGGGTGAACCTGTACATGACAGTGTATCTCCTGCGCTGTAGTTGCCACCTCTTCAACATTGAGAACATTTGTAATCCATAAGATTGCTATTCCCCCAGCCTGCCCTATGGCAGGTACCTCGATCAGTCCGTTGAAGTTGAAATCCTCCTTCAAGTTTTGATGACTTTGACAATGAGTTTCCAAAAGAACAACTAACGAGGGCCTATTGTAGTCGAGCAGTGACCTAAAATTTCTTCTAAAGTCAGCTGATTGTGCCCCTCTACAATTCCAAATTATGAAATTTATATTATTTTTGTCTCGAGCAGGTGACTGCTCCTTGGATTCATCCAACTGCTACTGCTTTCTCCTGGGCGTAGACGAAAAGTGGGAAGTAGTAGCATAGCATATTTTCCCACGTCCGGATTTGTTGTGGGTCTTATTCTTAAGGAAACCTTTATTAGCCTTGGAGGACACCTTACATAGATTTTTCTTTCGTATTCCTTCTTCTGGGCAAAAACTTTTATCCCGACGAGGTATGCATGCACTGGAGGCGTTTCTCTGTTGTAGACGATTGCTTCATCGAGTTCTGCCTGTAGATTCATGTCTTGTTCTGGTGAACTGTGATAGTCTCACCCTTTCCATTATGGCAATGACAATGGTCTCCAGTCATACAAAGATTATTAAGCACAATTCGCATCAAAATTTTAGTGGATCATCTTGCAGGATTTCGCTCGTTTAATCATCTAATTTCTAAACACATGCGTTGTTTCATACTAATCAATATGAAAATTTTATAATGGTAGTAGAAATAATATTAGAATAGCATAGCAATTTATTTCTAGGTAAGAAAACAAAAGAATTAATTAAATATGTTGAAATCTTCTAACAACACTAATTAATGGGTGCGAACGATCCATGAAAGGGCTTCTTATATAATTAAAAGAAAAGAAAAAAAGTAAAGGGGGATGACTTTATAATACTTATTATTAATATTGTACGACGATTTGTTCTCTCGAATAAGATCACTGCATAAGACACTTTGAAGAACAATTTCACATTCCTACTCCATATTACATATAATTGGCTAAAGACAAAAGGACACTAACTTTGACGCTTACAAGAAATGAAAAGAAAATAAAGTAACTATTTCTTGTTGGCTTTTCCAATAGAAGAAACAAGACTACAAATATTTTGAAATAGTTTCAAGTACCTTTCTGTTATTATGTCCCACCGCTTTATCTCCTAGTGATTTGGTCGAGTCTAAGAAGCTGAAAGGTTTTGGAAAAACTTCGCCTAGCTCCTGGTGGTTCCATTAAGCTTAAAGGTTTTGACAAGTTATATGAGAAGGCTTTTTTTTGTCAAGCAAAGAGGCATATATTATAGATGAAGTGATGTTACAAGGAGCAAAGTTCCGTGGTGGTTCGGTGTTACAAAAATAAGGTTGATCACTGCCACCATGGTGTATTACATTACTATTACAAGAGTTCGTCAAGCTGTCTAGACAAAAAGAAATGGGTTCTAAGTGCATAGTTGTACATGTAGTGCGTCTTTGGAGTATGCCCCGTTGGTCTGCTAATAACTCTTGTATTACAAAAGAAGGTGGTTGCAAAAAAACATTTGGGGCATTATGATCTAGGGTTGCCCCATAATTAGCTAGTTTGTCTGCTACTTGAT